ATGCCCCCTGAGGGGACCTGCTGCAGCACCCACCATTCCACAGGGACCGCAATAGGACCCACCGTGGTACCTGTGATATCACAGGGACCCCAAGGGGACCCAATGAGTTATCCTGGTGGCACCCGTCACACCGCAGGGATGGAGGGGAGCTGCTGCGGATACACCCCAGCAGGGGGGCTCCCATTACAGCATGGGGACCCCCAGGGGCCCCAGCACGTCCCAGGAACCCCACTGCAGCACCCTGGGGACACGCAGCCAAAGGGACACAGATGGGGAGGCAGCGGGGGGCATGGGGCACCCCAGGGAGGCTAAGGGGGAGCTGCGGGCAAACCACTCCTGAGGAAGCCGTCCTCTGACCCCACTTTGCCCCACATACCCCCCAAAACAGGGGACCTAGAGGAAAGCAGATCCCAAGCCGAGACACAGCACAGCTCGGGGCTTGGCTTCGCTCTCCAGCACCCACTTCCCGACCGATCCCAAAGAGCAGAGTCACAGCAACAGGGGAACCAATGGTCCCCAAAACTACCTGTCCTGGGGGGTTCCCTGCCCAAGGACAGGAGTTTAGGGGGGTCTGCAAGGGGGTTTCAGCCCCTCGGCATCTCACCAACTTCTTGGAGAGCAGCAGAGCGGTGCTGTTGTCGCTCTCCAGGGCCCAGGAGGCGAAGCGGAGGATGTGCTCCTGGTGCCGCTGCAGCTTGGTCATGGCCCAGTGCTGCCGCTCCAGCTTCTCCTGCTGCCCTTCCGTCACCCTCTGCGAGGAGGGGGACGATGCCACCTCAGGCCAGAGGGATGGTGACAGGGGACGTGCCAGCACCGCGTCGCCCCCCACCCCGTCTCACCTGGGCATCGCTCACCAGCACCTTGCCACGCTTGTTGAGCTCCTTCATGATCTGGAGGATGGCCATCTTCACGTCCACCTGCACCCGCTTCTGCACGTCCGTCACCTGGCGGATGCTGCCGGCAGAGAAGGGAAGGGGTGAGGGGGTAAATGCCCCCGGCAGAGGCAGCGAATTCCCCTGGGACAGCAGTGAATTCCCCCGGGAGTGGCAGGCAGAGCACGTACAAGCTGCGCACTTCCTTGGTGGAGCGCTGCAGGCTGGCGTGTTTGTCGCCCAGGCGCTTCACCAGCGTCGCCAGCATCTTGCGTTGGTTCCTCACCGCATCCTCCAGAAACTGGTACCTGTGGCGGGGGGAAGGGGTTAGCAATGGGGCTGGGGGGGCTGCAAGCCCCAAAATGCCCCAATGGGTTGCAGCCCCCCACACCAGCGCCCCATGGGGTGCCCAAAACAGCCCCCCCAGGAACCCCCAACTCCTGGAGCCATTAGAGAAGGGAACAAACTTGAATGAGTTAACGCGCTCAGTATTTATCTTAACTTCCTCGTTAACTTTTTAGCCATTAAAAATCAAATTAATTTGGATTAAGGAGCTGGCTGAGCTAATAAACTTGTCAGCCTCAAAACTTTAACTTAGTTATTTATTTTAACTGAATTAGATCTTGTGCATCAAAAATGCTTTTACTATAACAAATTGATCGGGTAAGTAATCTAACCAGATACCTGCTCAGATAATCAGATAATGAATCAAATTAGTTAACAATTCAACCAGGAAATTTAACCAGTCTAGGAGCAAAACCAGACTATTAAAAAAAAAAAAATCAAAACCCAGTTAAAAATCAGGCTAATTGAAATAACTGAAAAAGTAATTAAACTGATTTTTCATGACTAGAAAATTAGGTATCTCCAATTCCTTAAAACCAGTTTAAGCCCCTCAAACCAACCCGTTGGTTAACTAACAAAGTAACTAATCAGATAATACACCTATTTGGTCAAAAACAAAAATTAACCAAAATTAACACTCTGGTCAGTCAATCCCTTCAGAAGTTAGCTAACTAATAACTAAGGAGCTTCATTTTTAAAATCAATAACTGATGGATGAGAACACCCTGCAGGTTAACTTCAGTTCTTTTTCAGTGACTAGTTAATTGGTTTAATTAGTTATCTCCCTTCTAAGATATTCATTTTAAAAAAAAAAACCCACATTTAAGGTGCTGCGGGGCCTCGCCAATACGGTGTGCAGGCAACTTTGCAGCCAATAAATATATTTGTTCAGTTATCTGACTTGCCCCGAACCACTGTTTTTAAGGGATAACGAGCAGCATAACAGATTCAAGCAATAATTAGCTGTGAAAAATCGATTTTTAATAAATTAATTACTGCCAGTGGTAGTAATTACTCACTGGTGGTCCTTGTGTGCATTGAGCTGGCAGTCACGGCAGGTGAGCGTGTCGCACGTGTCGCAGAAGAGCGCCAGCGGCTCGTGCTTGTGCACAGAGCAGTACACAGCACGCTCCCCCTCCTTTGCTTTGCTGCTGCCTGCGGGAAACGCGGCGTGACATCACTGTGATGTCACCATGACGTCACTGGCACCCAGCAGGACCCGCTGGCAGAGCAGGGGCCCCTGTGGGACCGCCACGGCCGCCAAGGCAGCACCGCCAGATGCACCAGCCACAAAGTCACCGCCTCGGAAAAGGTGGTGACAGCACGGTGACAAGGACGGACCCGTGGCCCGGACTGTGTGGTCCTTGGTGTACTTGACCCGCTGGTGGGCCTCCACGCAGGTCTCGCAGAGTGGCTCCGAGCACTCCACGCAGTAGCTGGTGGCCAGCGCGTTGTCCTCACAGCTGGTGCAGCACTGGGGGACAAGAGACACGGTGTGGGGACACCGGGCCCGCCCAGCCGCGGGGAGCTCACATCACCCTAATTAATTCTTAACTCAGCATTAACAGGGCGTTACCTGACTCGACCCCTGGCTGGTGGCAGCCGCCTCGGCCCCGCTGTCCCTCAGGAAGTAGTTCTCCACGACGTCCTTCAGGTGACACTGGTGTTTGCAGATGGGGCAGTCGACCACTGCGGGGAGCGGTGGGGAGGGTGTCAGGGGGGGCCCAGGGTCACCCCAAACCCCCGTCACCACTGTTTGTCACTAGAGAGTCCCGTCATGGACCCGCACGGTGCCTCATGCCTGCCAAAAATGCACCTCAGGGGGGTCCCTGCTCCTGAAGCGGGTCCAGCATCGACCCAGGTCACCTATGGCTTTTTCCAGCCAAACTGCCGGGTAAGAAAGTTTCTCCCCAATATCCACCACAAACCTTGAAGGCCCCTGCCTCTTGCTCGGCTCCATCACCCCCCTTGGCAGCAGCCACTGATTTACCCTTCCTCCTCCTCCTCGGGAAGCAGCACAGCGACGGTTGAGATGCCATCTCCCGCAGACGGCAGCAAGAGGATGTGGTGCTTTTGATCTCCCCAAAAGCCGCCCCGCCAAGGCAGAGGGATGCGGAGATGGCGACGAGGAGCCACGGCAGTGACAACCGCTGGCACTGGGGTCAGAGTGTCCCCCCCCGGGGTGGGACAAGCCCACAGGTGCCCGGGTGGGGCCAGAGCAGCCGTGGGGCAGCTGGGGGCTGCCCAGTATGAGAAACCCACGGGGGGAAGGAGGCCACCGAGCACAGGAGGCTTGGGGAGACCCCACGGGCCACCCCATGTCCAGGCGAAGCCC